AGACGGACTCAAGCTTTTAGATAAGCAAATGCTCGTGGCACAGAAAGAGCTGCAGCTGTGGCAGCTACAGGAAGAAAGAAACATACATAGACAATACACCGCAGACCATGACGAAAAACAAAAGACAACTGCGAGGCGACGCGTGTGTTTGTATTTATTTTTGTTTGCCCATCGTCATCATCATCATCATCATTATCATTATCATTGTCTTTGCGGTACTAGGTCTGGGACTGAGACCTCGTCTGTTTAATTTATGTTTGCCTCAACTCTGCTGCGAATAACAGCAAAAATAACTATAAATGTAACCATAAAAAAATTAGCTAAAATAATTACAGTACCATAATTTAGATGACAGCAGGCTGAACATCTACTAAATTCCCTGCTTTTAATAAGCAACAAATATATAAATCTTCTTTAAAAAAAAAAAACATTAATCAACTTGCCAAAAGAAATCACTGTTGTAAATAAATTTAAAAGCTTAAAGTATTGTAAGAAATACAAATCGATAAATATTGTTTTGCTAATTAATTAATAAATCAAATAAAAAAATATGATTTTTTTATTTGTGAAGTGAATCTTTATTTTCATGTTTTCTTAAACCAAATTTTACTCTATTTTAAGACAAATCAATTCTGATATGTATAAATAGTAAAGATTGCAGCTTTATATATATGAAATCAATTTTGTTGTCTACCTCACAGCCAAGCTGTAATACCCGTTGCTACACGTACAGGGTATAGACAATGATCAAATACAGCTCCGTGTCTCCGTTCTCTGTTTACCTTCGTCTATTGTCACGTCAAAACAGCCGCACGTGCGACACTTAATGACCGCCGGTCATCACAATGCCCACACAGTGTTCGCAATGCATTGTCGGCGAGAGTCGGCGAAACACGACGCATACACACTCACAAACACACAGATACACACACACACGCAAAAGCAAACAGCACGCGCGTGTGGCGATTTACAGTTATATGCGATGGCGTGTGAGTCGCATTATTGGGTCAGTAATTAGCTCTTCTAGTTATCGCTGTTGTATTTATTGGCGCTACACTGCCGCTAATATAAATGCCCCCGATGTGTGCATATGGCCTACGATGTGCCACTGTGCTAATGGCCGCGATCTCATTATCATTTGTGAAAATTTGATAGTCTGATAGATGCGAATGCCTAAATAAAAACGGTTTGAAAGCGAAAACCAAACTAAATACTAATCGTGCTGTATAAAGTGCTAATAATAAGTGAGGTTCAACAAATAATTACTCATACGCCATGTACTACTGACAAGTTTTTACACGGTATTATCACCCTAACTAATGTATGATCTATTTAAAAAAACACACACAAAATTAAACTCATTTACAAGTTTTGATGAAATAGCTATAATCGTAAAAATTACTATCGATAATATGAAATTTATAAACATTTCCAACCAAAATAATATAGATTATAACCGTAGATAAAACCGCGAAAAATTGACAGCTGCGATGCGCATTATCGATAATATCGATAGTATTATCGATGATTTTGCTTTTCTTCTAGTCTGGATCTTAAAACTGACAGCATTCCTGTAATTCAAACTTATTGTTTTTATTGTGTTTTTAAACTGGAAAGCCCTGAGGTCTGCGACAAATTAAACAATATCTATTTTACAATTTAACATGCAATTTCTACAACAATGTATCATAACAAAATATGATAAGCTGTTATTAATTTAATATATATGTATTTCAGCTGGAGTTGTAATAACTGAACCCTTTGAATGGGTATAATGGTTTTGTGCAAATGTATGTTACGGGGAGAAGGAAACATCTCCGACGCCATAAAGTACATATAGCCGAATCGATCTGGCCTTGTCCGACTATCCGTTAGTATGTATGAACGCATCGATCTCAGAACCTATACGAGCTGGAGACTTGAAACGTTATTGTGCCCATGCATCGATATCGATAATATGACCCGTTTCTAAGCAATCGATAAGAATCGATATCGAAATCTCGATTTTTGAGCAAATATCTTTGTTTGCAATGGCTAGAATCATCAAATATGACATGTAGCTTCTTGAATAGTATATATACATCAAGTATCTTTCCTCCCCCTAGAGCGATCTACATTGGGTGTTGGTAGAAGAAGGTTCAGGGTATCCCCTAGTCAGGCATCCCGTCAAGAGCACTGATGCTTGTTTATATTTATACTTTTATGCAATACTTATCTAATCCTCGCACAGTCCATTTATGCTTCGCGAATAACTAGCGTAGGCAATAAAACCAATAAAAAAAGCCCGACTTTATTTCCTAATATTCCATGCACATAAAAGGGACTTAGAGCATCCAACTAAGCTCCCTAATAAGCCATAAAATTAACATAAAACATAAAAAAAAAATCAATAAATAAACAAAATTAATTGTCATTTAAAATTAGTCAAAGTTTTATTGGTTTTGCTACCGTTTAGCAGAGCAAACTTAACCAATTTAACTTTTATATGCTTTTACATCCGCCGTTTGTTTTAAAATTGGCGTAATACAGGCACACACACACACACGCACACACACACAAAAGGCGATTGCACACACGTGTGGGAGCAGAAGCCGGTATAAAATTTAAAAGCCAAAGCTAAAACGAAAAAGCGAATTAATTTGTAGTTGCCTGCATAAATTAAAAAGACTTTGTCATTCAATCGCAGTTAGAGAAGCGGACACTGTCGTCAGCTACGTCGACTGTTGCGGCGACAGCGATTGCGGCAGCGGCAGCGACGGTGACTGCAAAATGGCGATAATTTCGTTGCCACGAGCTGCGCACAGACAGACAGACTGTGAATTGGTGTGTGTGTGTGTGTGTGCGCGCGCGGGTGAAGGGAGCGCAACACAAGCCATCGAGCGAGTAAAAAAAAAACAAACAACATTTACCCAGCTAAACACTTTTAGGCAAGCAAATACAAAGGCATTCCAAACACACTGTCTCTTGCATGCCATTTTCGTATATTCAAATTAAAAATGTAGGGCACTTGAGAGAGTACATGCAAAAAGCAACGCAAAAGTTCCGCTGGGTGCACAATTTCAAAGTTAACAAACACACGAAAACGCTCTCACATGATGTTAATGAATTTTTATGCTGCTGTCTCTGATGGCCGTGTCTTTATGTGTGTGTGTGTGAGAGTGTGATTGGGGTGTGATTTGCTCTTGTTGTTTTTATTGATTTAACGGCGCACGTGTTGCGGCTGGGGTAGCCGAACTGTCAGCGCTTCTCTCCCCTTTTGCCAACCCAACGCGGAGCAGAGCGTCAGTTCGTTTGCAGCGATTGTTCTTGTTGCTATTTTTCGTTGCTGTTTGTTTTCATTTTCGAAGGTTTCTTATTTGTGTATTTTGGTTAAGCTTGAAGTTTTAATGCGCAACGCGTTCGAGTCTTTATTATAAGTATATTATTATGGACACCATGGGGTGTCATGTATGGATTGGCTACCCTGTTGCTGTTACACACTTTAAAGGATTGTTTGTATAAATTTATTCGCTTCCGCTTGGTGAATATATGTACTATTAGTATTCCACACAAGTAACGTATTCAAAATGAAGGGCATTCTACTAGTCTGTGTGAAATGGAGTGAGAAATATCACAAAATATCACAATTTTGCTCAATGGCTGTTATACATGTACATAGTTTGCTTATAGTCGATTTCAGACCAGTTTAATCTCTTGATTAAGCTTCTATTTCTATGATAATCATTGTGTGAAATCTCAGATTAATTTGATAATTATTTGCTCACCTCAATTCATTTACATTCATCGTTTATTGAAATTACTTAATTATAATTTCCGTTTGATTTACTTATTTCTATTAGCTACGAATTATGTGGTTTTCATTTGCTTTAATAATGACCACAATTGCAGCGCCCGGTGGAATTAAAATCGAATTCGAAGCCAAACAAAGGCCTTAATTCACATAAGTCCATAACCAGCTGTCACTCAGCGGGTTGAATATGTTGTCAAAGTCACAGCTGGATTCACTTTTCTGCTGAACACAATAAAAATAAATAAAAGTATAATAAAGCGTCGCTTACGACAAGCAATACGCATTTGTTATTGTTTTCTCTTTTTTTATCTTTTGGTTTTTTATTTAAAACGCTTTCTTTATGAAACGTTCGCACGCTCCACTTAATAAGCGGCAATTTCCATTGAGAATTCGACAAGTAGGTCTGATACCAGGTAACGGGAACGGAAGCATCAACGGGCCATTGACATAAGAGTAGTTCTAGGAAAAATCACGTGGAGCTGTGCAAATGTTTTGAAAAACTCAACATTTGTAAAAAGATAAAAAATGTTGTACAGATGTTTGGCTGCGCTTTTAAATTTGTATAATAATTTATGTTATTGTTCTCTTTATTAGTTTTCTAACTTGCATTGATATATTTTTAACAGTTTTTTATAATTTAAAATGCTTTCAAATCTGGCATATTTTATTTTTAGATTATGCTTACTTGGGAAGTCAACAACACGCATACGCCATGTGAGACACTTGGGCAACTGCAGTCGCAGCGTGCAGTGCGAACAAAAGGCCAAAGGGCTAACAGGATGCGTCAGCAGTCAAGAGAGAAGCATACACAGGAAAATACATGGACACCCACACTTGAACACACACACACGTATACGCTATGTTCGTCCTTGAGAAGGTGACGCAAAAAATTTGATTAGGAGCTATGCTGCATGGCGGGCAGCATTAGCACAGCACAAAGGCACAAAGTTCTTCAATGCATGCCCACACACACTGTTAGCATGATAATAGCAAAAACGAGCTAGATTACGCGAGAGTAAGAGGCAGCGACTGCGAGCTAAAAGCTCTCTTCAATAACGTTGAACGTTACTGGTGACATGCAATTTTAGCAGGCGACACGTGTGGCCCGTGGGCATTTATTTATGTTTTCATCTTTCTTTTTATGGTGTTGAAAAGCGTACTGCTAATACTAGAAGATGAATGAGCCAATTTATGCGAATAGGTAACTTACCCGTTGGTGTGTTGGAAAGCGTTGAGCAGTAAATGTAGCAGGAATGTTTGCGTTTACAGTTGCTGTTGCTTAACAGCTGTTGTCTGCTGCTGCTTTGTTGCTGGGCACACTCTAACAAACACTCTAAAGACAGGGAGAGGGCGACACAGCATAAACACGTTTTATTTTATTTATTGCACGCTCATTGAAACTAATGAGCATTCTTGTTGTTTTCACACGCTTTTAATCTATTCCTTTATGGGTAGTCTCACCGACAACAACAACAAAAACAACAACGATAAATGCGGCGCTGACTGCGACGACGACTGCGAAGCGAGATGTGTGCAATGATTGGAGACAGTCGACTCGAACGACGCTACTGTTGGCGACACGCGCGCAAACAAAACTTTCGCTTTCGTTACGCGATAGACACCAGCACTAAACACACAAATACATACACACATATAACGATACAATCTCAGCAGTTCTCACTCACACAAGAAATACGTAAATGCTGAGTGCTTTGGAGCTATGAAGTTGTAGTCAGCAGGCTTATTTTAGCGAAGCGCATCCAACGACAGCGCACAGCGGAATGAAGTCGCGCTACCACTGCGCGTCGTTTAAATATACGCTGGCAGCAGCAGTGACTGCACACCCGACGCAAATGTCGAAAGTGTGTTTACCACAACAGTGTTAGGCAAAGCAATGAGAGAATTATTATTTGTTTAGTTAAGTCCTGGCAAAATAAAACAATTTCTTGGAAATCATATTTTGATCGCACTAAAACAAGTAAAAATTTAGAATAAAATAATTATATGCTCTAAATCATATTTTAAAAGCATATTTTATTTCTGCTGGGCATTCCGCATGTTCATTCATATTTGATTCAGTGTTAAAAAAAAAATATTTTCGACTCTATCAGGGTTAATTGTATTCATAGCATTATTACCTTAGCAGTTCGTGCGGCAATATGCGTACACCTTATCAAAACACCCCTGAGTCAATAAACGAACTGCGTGTGCGAGTAAGCATAACAAAAAACACAAAAAAAAAAACAAACAATCAATCGTAGAAAAACTATTTTTAAAACATAAATTCTAATCTTGGCAAATTATTGACACACATTTCATCTAAAAGTGCCCACACGTTTATTTTTGCTGCCTGCCAAAACCAAAAAATGTTGCCAGCAATAAATGTTGACGCAACAAATGCTGAAGCAGTACAATGTGTAAGCATTTTATCTTTGGGCCTAGCTCGCGTTTGTCTCTCTCTCTCTGTCTCTCTCTTGGTTACACTCTCCCTGGCTCCCCCGCCATTAAAGTCAATTTTGTCGCACGTGTCGGAAATATTGTTACGGCCGATTGCTTTTTCTATGGATTGGGTTTGTGTGATTGCATGAGTGTGTGTGCGACTGGTTGTGTTTGTGGTGATGCGCGCTGTGCGTGCTAATGAAAAGGTAATTCAATGCCCTATGCCACGAGCAGGTGACGCTTGCCCAGCTAACGGTAAACATAGACAGCGGGTCAATTTCCGGTTTTGCGATTCTTTGACAAAACGAGCCGCTGCAAAACCAAAGCAGAGCAATACACAGACTCGCACACACACACACACTGCAAAAGGCGTAGCGAAAACAATAAAGAAGAAATTAGCATAACACATGAGTTGCCTCTCGACAGTCATCAGCTGTCGCCCCTCTCTACCTCACTATCCGCCTACTCAAAATGTCCATGTGTGTTTTAATAGGCTCGTGGGTGTGTGAGTGTTTTTTTTTTGTTATTGCTTGGCGGCAAACACTTCTCAGTTTCAATTGCCAACACGTGTGAGAGCGCAAGTCGAACAAAGCAAAAGGAGAGCAAATAAATGTAGCGACTGCTGGTGGGTGTTTTGCGGTGGGGGGTTGGGGTCTGGATCATTCCACTCCCTAAAATGGCGTCAGAGTTGCTGTAAAAGTTTTGCGCGCCAGCGAAATGGAAAATTAACGTGCACTCGGCGGACAAAGATGGAAGGGGACAGAGGGCGCATAATGGAAACGGGGGCGTGGCCATGCTGTTGTCTCGCACTTGCGTCAATGGAAAGCGCGATATAAGCATAACGCCAGACATGACCATTAAAAGTGCGTAATCAGACGGTGGCAAATTTACTTCTGCAAGCCGAATCAAACACGCGCCAGCCTCAAAAACACCCCCGCCCCTTTTCCCACTAACCAGGCAACCCATCAACCGATACAGCGAGACGGTCAATGTTTATGGTCTTAAACAAACGAAAACAGGAAAGCATTCATATGAATTGAATCCACAACGAAAATCGCATGCTCTTTGAATATGTATATTAACAGAAATGTACAAATTAATAAAAAATAACAATTTAACCAATATAACTGTTGAAAGAGCACACAAATCGAGATTGCAAATAGTGCATTAGGAATGTTGCATATGTGAACCCAATTCGCATCGACCCACATAAATAAGTATGGCCCCAATTATATAAAATAGAGAAGAGCGCGTGTCGTGTTGTTTCGCGCGACAGAAGCACGTACGACGTGTTCTTTTAAAATGATGTTCTTAAAAGAAATTCCTGAAAACAGTGAAAGTTACCATAACGGACATTAAATGAGTATATCCATATATCCGAGTATATCCGTATATCTGTGCATATTCTATTAATTGTAACATGTTAGGAAACACATCCATATTTCACATAAATAGATTTTATACAATGTGTAGGGTTTCATACGAAACACATACCTATACAGGTCAAAACATGGATTGTGTGTGTAAAAATTAGATGGCTCGTATTATGTTCTAAAAAAAAACTAATTTCCCGACACGCGCCCAACTCTGCAAAACGTATGGACATTGATATGTATGTGCGTCGCTTTTATGTCGGCGCTTGCCAAAATAATGTCAGCAATATGGCATGACAGCCAGCGATATATGTACGGTTATCAATAGATGTCCGGCGGATATTTTTAGACGTCTCAGCGAATCGCGCATGTAACAATAACAATATCAATAATCATAATACAAATAAGTCGAATTGTACTTGGGTACCGGTTTTTCCTGCGGGTATCGAAGTAAATTTTTGTTTGTGTTCGTTATTTTCGTTGTTCTTTTTTTTTTTCATTAATTTGATTGGCACTGCAGGCGCTTATACACGCGCAATGTCAAGGCCTCCCACAGAGTGCCCGAAAATAAAATGCCCAGGTGTAGAGGCTAGTAGAGAGACACGCGCCGAAACATTGGACTCACATATACTCACATATACTTACATATGTGCATATATATGAATTTGTTCACATAAATTATATGAGCGCCAGTGACACCCGTTGCCCCCCGCAGCTTAACGGGAATTCGCGCACTGATAGTGTCAAACTGATAACGCCTAAAATAACATGAAGCCGACATCACAGCTACTTTTGCAAGTTAATTTCCATAACCGAAAATTGGTTGGCAGTATTTTATACACATTCAAAACACATAAACTATCAAAGTAAACATTTCAAACCTGTAACGGTTGCGAAGCGCGTAGCAGTCAGCCTTTGAGTGCCATCACAAATAGCACACTTGCCTTACAAGAGCTGAGTGCATAGCAGAATATCACAAGCAGTTCTCCAAGCAGTTCACACAAGCATATTGTTTAACGTATTTTCAATTTGGGTTTTTAAATTGCACGCAGAGAAACAATCAAATAAAATGTTATGGGCTAATATTAATTAAACATGCATATTGGAAAGCGAAACATGTTGTAATTATAACGATAAATGTACACTTACAGAGTGTATTAAAGAAGTGAGACAATTCGTGCACATTTTTAAATAAACATAAAGCTTAGGTTATCTTCTCCACTTCTCCACTCCTCGTATATATATTTCTCAGTATGTTTAGTAATGTATAAAGTCTTATTGCTGTTAACAATTTAGATTATAAATCACAATAGAACAGGAATGTGAAACGTATTCTTAATAAAGGCCGAACGTGATGAAAATTAAACTAATGTAATAGAATATTTGAATATTTGTGTAGGCTTTGTATGGATGAATTTATTTTGGTTTTCCTATTTAGTACTCGTAAAAGTTTCAAATTTTTGGTAGGTCAATTGTGTTGTTGCCCAAACGGCGCAGAAAAAATCGATTTCCAACATTTCAATAAGCAAATGCTAACTACTTGCAGCCCCGTTCCATTTCCAGACGAAGCTCCCCCTTTGGCAAATTGAGCCTTTGCCAACGACACCCAACAAACAACAAATATTGCCCAAAGCGAAAAAACTGAAGCTGCAGCCACAACTGGGGCCGGCAATAAAAGCAAGGCGCAAAATCGAAAAGAAAGAAAAAAAGTAATCAAAGCAGAACTCATTAAGCATAGTAAAAAATTATGCTATTGTAATAAAATGGTTAAGCTGAAGCCGAAAATCGCACAGGCAATCGAATTAAACAGCCAATGGCCGTGGGCGCTGGCCAAGCGCTGCCAAACAAATTGCCGGGAAATCCCAAGTACCCCAAGTACCCCAAGTACCCCCAGAGAGGCACCAAGGTGCCAGGGCCAAGACCGACCGGGTTGCAAGTTAGTTTTCATCGATAGCGAATTTATTATGCAAAGCAGAAGCGGTAAAAGATCAAAGCGCAGCGATAGCAGATAACACGCAAAAAGCACAAAAACTACCAACTGCCGCCCAGCGATCGATGAAGAGGCCAACGGACAAGACGCTGATGTGGACGAACTGAGCTGAGGGCGGCCCTTTTTTTTTTTTTTGTTTGCCCGCACAAATAGATTAGTTTCACATGGCATCGAGAGCCGGGGTTTTAGGGCGCCATATTGCACACTGGGCCCGCCAGCCGCCGGCCGCCAGCAGAAGTTATGAAAAATTAATAATAATGTCGAATCGATTGATTTCAGCGAGTGCAGCCGGCACCACCTAGACGATCGGTCGTCCTCCGTTTGGATCGAATTGACTTGGTCAAGTTTGGTCGCCTCCGGCGCCTTTTGGACCTCTCAACAACAAGCCACACGCTTATGCTCTCTTCTTCGCCCAGTGCGTGAGTGTAAGTGTAACTGTAACTAAAATAATTAAGAGACTCGAAAGAACCTCTTCGAAACTTGGGATACCCTGTGAACTAGTTAAACATTCCAGATGAAAAATGTTGTTTATTTTTTTTTATTATAATTTATTTAAATATGCCATATTTATATTCTTATTTTATGAGATAAAGAGCTTCTTAGAACTAGATGTACCATAATATAAAAGCTATATTTAATAAGTATTCATGCTCTAGTCGGAAGTGCCCAACTGGAAGATACCGTGTGGAGATGCCAGCTGCAAGCTATCTTCTTTTTGCGCATACATATTTATAGCGTATGCTCCGCTTCTTATTCGCTTATCCCAAAACTATGTAAAATGTTTTCTCGAAAAACTCGGTATTTATAGTACGATCTTTATAAAAATTTTCGGGTCTTAAGTATCGGATGCAAATGTGTGCATAAAACAAATGTGTACCAAGTTTGGTGAAACAAGCTTTTATAATATTCGAGTTATGCTTTAAAAAAGCAAACGATTTAAGATTTATACCATCGATATTATGAAACT